GCAGTAGCACGCCCAATTAATTCATGCCATGATGCGCTATGCTCGTTCTGATTTGCCGTCAAAGCAAAGATATACTACATCGATCTCTCTGCAAATCAAATACTCTTCCTAGAGATTATGACAGATCGATTCACTACACTGAATTTGTTTCAAATGAACCCTTTGAGGGCAAGACTACTGATCAGCCACCCTATTGGTTCAGAGCACTAGTGTATTACTACCTTCATTTTTGTATATATATATATATAAGGTCATTTTTTTATGTCTAACTTTGACCATTAATTTTATCAACAAAAAATGAGTTATATGTCCAAAAAAATATGTCAATGGATGCACATTTCAAAGAACTTGCCGATGATATATTTTTTATCATTTTATGGCATACTTCCTCCGTTCCTAAATATAATCTTTTTAGAGGTCTCTAAAAAGATTATATTTAGGAACGGAGGAAGTATAACCCATGTATTCTTGAACAAAATCATAAGTTGAAGTTTGACAGGAAAATAAAGTGACCTTGTATATAGAAGTGAGGAGGTATAAAAAAAAGTACATATACATATTTTTTATAGCAAAAGTACATATACACACCTAATTACCATAACTAATTGCTACTTAATTTGTCTTAAGGCCCAAGCCAAATAATAACCCATTAAACCGATGTACACGATTGAAGCTTTGCTCCCCTAAAAAAAACTGATTATTGTCTCCAAACCTAGCGCCGCCATCCTGCCTCAGATCAAAAAACGATGAAAACCTAGCGCCGTCGCGTCTGATCCATGCTAGCTGCTAGGGCGCCTGCCATCGCTCGCCGTCCCTGCCAGAGTGCCAGTCCTCATCGCCAGCTGCCAGTCGCCATGAGACCAAGACACGGACACCGCCGCGGTGCCGGCGTGCCCCGATAATTAATTTCAACTTTCAAGTCGCGCCATCGATTCAGCTAAGCACCGTATTCATGCATGACCATACGCTCAAATCTAAAGATACACAGGTATACGGACCCTACACTAGTAGTTTTCATATAGATTACAAAACATTATTGAGTTTATTTTTTTGAATTTGTTCCGGCCTATATGCCTCTAAGAGAAGAGCAACAACGATTAATTCTTTTTGTTACAAGCAAGTTGGCGAGTTGCATCCATATTTTGTTTGTGATAACTATGCGGGGATGAATTATAATATACAACCTTTTGCTCCGTAGGTGGATGATCTCACTGTAATTCCACGCAATGATTATCAAAGAATTTCTACTGCCATAGCTGATGGGCATGCATTAGTGGCTACTTTCTTTGGTGGAAAAAAATTAGCTCGTCTGAAATATGGGCAGATCTATAGGTCATATGATCCATTAGGTTATGATGGTAGAAGGAAAAAGATAATTGGACATGCGGTCTTCCTTATTGGTGCAGCACGAGAAAATAAGGAGGAGTATTACGATTTTGTCAATTCTTATTGTAATTTCTGTGTGCGCCGCAACTCCCAAGGAGCACTCATCAAATCTGGCATAGGGAGATTACGCGCGTCAGACCTTAAAGAAAATGTCATTTGCCTTCACCGCGGTAGTTGTGGTAAGTCTATCATATTGATCTTACATATGCTGCAAAGAGATGACATCTAATGTAATTTATTTATATAGGAGACGATGAGTGGCGGTTGCAGCCCCAGATCGGTACCAATTTTGAATTAAATAAACACAACAAGCTTTTAATGTCCACCTTGAAGCCTGAGCTTCCCAACCAACCTGATATCATGGAAGATATGGTACACCACTTGATGACTTGTTTTGCTAGAGTAAATGTTTGACTACGCTTTTGTTTTGGGTTCAATGAATTAACTCTCTATTTCTTTTTGTACTCTTCCAGATTAAGAACATTCCAGTTATGGTGTATGATGAAAAAAAAATCGTCTTTGCATGGGTACCCAGACAACAGACTCCAGGTAGATTAAAGTTTTCATAAAATGATTAGCTTTCAAAAAAAATTAAGTTTGGTGTGTATACAGTCTCTGATATCAACTGTATTATGCAAAAAATCGTCTTTGCATGGGTACCCAGACAACAGACTCCAGGTAGATTAAAGTTTTCATAAAATGATTAGCTTTCAAAAAAAATTAAGTTTGGTGTGTATACAGTCTCTGATATCAACTGTATTATGCAGATGCCAAGTGCTCCGTTGGCCCAAGGGCTGATTCTACTGTCCAGGGTGATTGCCCACTGGAGGTTGTTGCTGGACATGGTGACCAGCCCATGATTACTGTCAAGTACAAGGGTGAGGAGAAGCAGTTTGCAGCTGAAGAGATTTCTTCTATGATCATCATCAAGATGTTTGAGATCGCTAAAGGTTTCACTGTTGTGAAGAATGTCCTTGTTACTGTCCCTGCGTGCTTCAGTGAATCACAGTGGCAGGCTACCGAGGATGCTGGTGTGTTTGCTGGCATCAGTGTCATGCGTATCATCAATGAGCAAACAGCTGCAGTTATTGCTTATGGTCTTCACAAGAAAGATTCGTACGTGGACAAGAAGAATGTTCTCATCTTTGACCTTGGAGGTGGTAGCTCTGATGTCTCCCTTCTCACCATTGACGATGGCATCCTACAGTTTAAGGCCACAGCTCGTGACAATAAGATTGGTGGCAAGGACTTTGACAACAGGATGGTCAACCACTTTGTTCAAGAGTTCAAGAGGGAGAACGAGAAGGACATCAGTGGCAATATAAGAGCTCTTCGGAGGCTGAGGACAGCCTGTGAGAGGGCAAAGAGGACTCTCTCCTACACTGCCCAGACCACCATTGAGATCGACTCGCTGTTTGAGGGCATTGACTTCTGCTCCACCATCACCCGGACCGGGTTTGAGGAGATGAACATGGATCTGTTCAGGAAGTGTATGGAGCCTGTGGAGAAGTGTCTTCAGGAGGCAAAGATGAACAAGGGCACCGTGCACCATGTTGTCCTCGTTGGTGGTTCCACTAGGATTCCCAGAGTGCAGCAGCTTCTGCAGGACTTCTTCAATGGCATGGATATCTGCAAGAGCATCAACCCCGATGAGGTTATTGCCCACGGGGCAGCTGCCCAGGCTGCCATCTGGAGCAGAGAGGGCAACGAGAAGGTTCAACTGCTATTGGATGTGACTCCTCATTCTCTTGGTCCGGATACAGCTGGAGTGGTGATGAGAGTCTTGAAGGTGCCCGGTGAGGAGAAGGCCACCATCACCAACGACATGGATGAGCTGAGCAAGGAAGAAGTATGCAAGATAGTCCAGGCCTCCAAGCTGTGGGCAGACAACAAGAAGAAGATGCAAGGGGCCATCGACGCTGGTATCTAGTGGCTGGACACGAACCAGCTTGCTGAGGCGGGCGAGTTCAGGGAGAAGATGGAGGCCCTGTGCGACCCCACCATTGCCAAGATGTACCAGGGCGCTGGCCCCAAGATGCAGGACTAGGTTTGTTATTTTGGCCTGGCATAACACTTTTAACACTCCAGTCACCAGCCAAACAAGAATTGCTTAGGCTCAGGCCAGGCAGTTGATTTTGTCAGAAGACGCTCTAAGCTTCTATTGAGTTTGTTGGCATTTCTGCTGTGCGTTGTTATATTTTTTTACTTGATGATGTGTTGTTCTCCTTGTTGTGTAGTAAAAAGAAAACTTTAAAAAAATTGATTTTTTTTGTGATAAACATTGATGAAAGTTTTCATTGCACGCAAAAAATTGTGACGAAATGACATTCACGGAAATGTGGGAAAAAAAATTTGATGCTTTGAAAACACTATTGTTGGAAGCATTTTGTAGCATTGAATTTTCCTTTTGCCCACATTTGCACTAATGCCACTTTATCACAAATGTTTGCACGCAGTGAAAACTTTCATCAATGTTCATCACAAAAAAAATCTGATGTTTTTAATATTTTTTCCGATCCTACTGTTCATGAGGGAGCATATGAGCTCGGGATCAAAAGAACACTTTGGGTGCTCCTTGAACTTTCTTCCTTGCAGGGTTCTTTCCTAGTTGATGTATGCTGTTCGTTGTTTTGGAGATGACGTCGTTTTGTTTCCCATCCACATGGCCCTGGAGCATTACATCTGTCAATGCTTTTCTTTGCTCAGTTTGTTTTCTAAATCAGGTTTTTCTCCTTTGTGCTGTGCAAGATGAATACACTAGTAAAACAATGTAGTATTGTGTATCTATTCAATCAAAGTCAGAGTTGGGTCTCAAGATTTTGTGACGAGAAATTTAGCAGCAGACTCTGGAAACAAATCTTTGCCAGCAGAGAGTAGCTCCAATGTGGGTGATGGTGATCGCAGCCTTTTTGAGTCCCTGCCGGCTGCCAACGAAGATGATTAAGCGGACGCTCGAGCACGATGGGATATGCGGGCTGTTTTTGCAGAAACAAGACAGGGGCAGCAGATACGCGAGCCTGAACCCCATCGTTTCTCAGATGCACGAAAGCCAAGGTTGCCGATCAGGACGAGGATCAGATCATCGAAAACTGGCACTTCATTCACCAGTGCCGAGGCTTTCTTTGTTGCATTCAACGGTAGCATCAGTAGAAACCTATTACTAATCTGGGGACGGGACGGGACGGCTTTCTTTGTCGAGCAATTATGCAGTGCACACATTCTTCTGTACCAAATGAAGTAAGCACACAAGAGACAAAGACGTGTTCGTCCCACAAACTAACAGACTTCTATCCAACCTGTTCCATTAGTCGTTCAACCGAGATTTTTTACTTCTTACAAGAGCAGCAAATTGGGAATGGAAAAGTGCCCTCAACGGAGCAACATTAGAGTTCAATACAGCAGAGAAAACTAGAGACCAAAGGACCACAACGTTCAAAGGAGCAGAAGAACTACAGCACTGCGTCAGGCATCAGCATCGCCATCAACTGATTGACCATCACCTCCTTTCACAAGACCTGCAAATATAAAAGGAAGGAGCACACTGTGAATAAACAAACTAGCTGCAACATAATCAGTGAAGTTAATACTACACCCCTCACCGTTCACTGTATATACTACTCCTCTCCATACTCATCCCACTCATGACCGTCGGATTCCTTGATGGTGAAGTCATTGCTACCAAGGTACATGCAGTCCTCATCGAGTCCATCGGCCACAGTGTCCGTAACAAATTCGCTATTAGTTAGTATGCGATCATTGTCGTACTCCTCTGGATAGTCGACATTTTCGAATAAATCTTCCCCGCGAACCATCTTCCCAAACTCCACCTCGTGCCCATGGAATCCCTCCCCATTAGCCGGGTGTACAATCCTGATCCCTTCTTGCTCGCAGAAAAGGCAGCGCACTGGTTCTGCCACATGTATGCAGACCACAATTAGTAATCATAGCATGGATTTAAATGCAATTAATTTTTACAACAAAAAGGGCACCACTGGTATTTAAACTGCAGAATATATAAACACATCCTTTCTATCTTGACTTCAGAAGTTACATGCTGGTGTGTGTGTGTGTATGTGTGTGTGTGTGTTTATCATATACTCCCTCCGTCCCAAAAAGCTTGTCGCTCAAATGGATGGATGGAGGTAGCCGTGTGTGGTATGAGCATGAGAACAGTTAATGAAGATCCTTATCAATCTGATGAAAAAAGAATCTTAAACAAAAGACTGGGAGCATATATATATATACCAGCCCCTGGTAGTAGAAACTCCACTGGGCAGCATAGAAGCTGGCTATCCTGGTCGTCGTTCTTGTTGCTAAGCTCAGCAAAGAAGAGTACTGGAACTGAACCTACAGAGCCAACATTCCGGGTCACCAGAAAGTTGGCATGTGTGTGATGGTAGTAGTCATCTTCAACAGGATCTTTTTTCTTTTGCAACATGATGGAGTGCATACTATTGTCAGGACCAGACACATATGTATTCACACCGCAGACCACATGAAGCTGATAACAGCCTTGTTCCTATAAGATGGCAGAACAAAAACGAGCAAATCAGCAAATGAGGCATAGAATTAAGAGAAAACTAATTGCTCATCTTTTAAAACAACTTTGCTCTTATAGCACTACTTATTTGCGAACTACTCTACATCTCCCACCAACAATGCTTGTACTGCCACCCAACCCATTGGTCCAAGTGTTAGCTCAAATCATGCACTCAAACAAAAATCTTCTTGGCCTTGTCCAAACTCTGTTTACATGGTGCTGTGGTGGCCACGGCTCAGCGGGATAATCAAAAGGAATACCTAAATGGACATTATGGGCTTATCACAAGAAATGCAGCACATTCAAACAAGCTAATAAGCGTTGATGGAGGTCGGTAGCAGAAAGTTACACCACATGTTATGATCAAGCAGGCCTTCTAACTGATGGAATTTCTATTAAAAAGTGTGTCCGTGGGGTAAATTATTAATCAAAGGAGGTCAGTAGCAAGTTCCACCAGCTGTTTTGATCAAGTAGGATTTCGGTTGATGGAATTTGGACACAAACAAATATAGAGGTACCTGAGGGATCAGGATAAACTAACTCACCGAATTCTGCACCTCATATCTGCTTAGTGCAGCCCTGATCTTTCTGGAGATTCTTTTATGAGCCCTTCGCTGTATACGTCCCTCATACATGGTAAGCTCGAACCGTCGTTTATAAATGGCAACTGGTTGCTTCTGATGGGCTAACATGCCAGTGGAACGGAAAGCAGATGACAATAGCATGGCAAGCTGCTGGACACATTGAGAAGAGAGCTGTTGTTGACCTCCATTATCTGACAGCAGTGAGAGGACTGCAGGCGTCTTGCAGGAGCTGAGGAATGCTACTTGGGCATCAGGTATGGGGTGCCATGCCGCAGTTGCAGCAGCTCTGAAGGCTTCTTGTTCATCCTGGACAGTGCTGCAGTGCTTTGTCGCGGCCAAGTCGAGATCCGTGTCGAGCAAGAACCTTATGGCCTGATCGGAGTTGAGATCTTTGTCACGGGTGCAGAGGAAAGAGACAAGTCCGTAAAAGGATTGTGCTTCAATCCGCATTAGGTTCAAGGTGCCAAGAATGTCGAGCTCGTCCAGTTGACTCAGTGGTGGGAATGTGACTTCGTACCAGATGGTGTTGACGATGATATTGGTGACAGGATCAAAAGGGCCATAGCAATGGCCAGCCTTGAGCATGCTACGGTGGTAACGAGACCGCAGCTCGCCACCCGGCATCCTGGCGAGTGCCTGCAGGTAGAAACCATGGATCGTATGTAGGAGCACTCGCCTCAGTGACCAGGAATACTGGTGGGTCACCTTGGTGGTGTGCTTCCTGCGGCGGGCGGCAAGCTCCCATGGTTCGAGAAGGTTGCTGCTACCAGGAGCAGGAAAAGGGAGAGATGCTATCTGCTTGACCAACTTGTGGGAAATGTCTGAGGATTGATTATGCTGCAACGCCGAGAGCAAGGCGACGACCACGTCATTGGAGTCCTGGGAGGAGCACAGCGACAGCCACACGCCTGCGAGTACCGACGGCAACGGGTACTTGGCGGCCACCGTTGCGCAGTTGAGAGCGAGCTTGAGGGCGCCGTTGGTGGCGGCGGAGCCTGGGCGGAAGCACTTGGTGCGGCGGTCCTCGATGACGATGAGCGCGGCAACGAGGGGGTCGGCTTCGGCGAGGACAAGGTACCTGACGGCCTCCCAGTCGGTGAGGTGAGGGAAGAAGCATGTGAGGAAGGCGACGAGGCCATCGAAGGAGCGCTGCGCCATGCCCACGAGCATGGTCTCGTCGACGGGATCTGCGATGGGGGCAAGCGTGGCGCTCATGACTATGTTGGTGACCGGATCGAGTAGGCCGACGCAGGTCGCCTTCTCGAGGAGCCGCAGCAGATCGGAGTTGGACCCCTCGGTGAGAGACTTGATGGCCGCCTTGAAGTGGTTCCCGATCTGGAGGAGGAGGAGTGATGTGTCCTGCTCCCTCTCCTCCCACGGCAGGGCGCCATCATCGGACAGAGACGTGCCGTAGACGCGGAGACGGCCGGTGCTGGCGGCGGCTCTCAGGTTGGCCATGGCCTCGCCGGAATCCTAGGTTAAGATGGATGGATCGATCGATCGATTTGGGGGAACGGTTTATTTTTCTTCTTTTTTTGACAGGGGAAGTCCTTTTATTTAGAAGAGGAAGAGGAGGCGAGGTGGGGGAGCGGGGTTCCTTAGGGTTGCGGAGTCGGACCGGGCCTAGGCCCAATTCACTAAAGCTGCATTGTGGGTGGAATTTGGACTCATCAGATACCGCCTGTCTTTTTTCTCAAAAAAAAAAAAAAAAAGATACCACCGGTCTTGCCTCAATTGTCTTAAAAAAAACTGTCTTGCCTCAAACAATTTGAGTTATCCACAACTGTGTTTAACTTAAATTTAACCAATTCACCCACTGAATTATGTGTGGTCAATTCATCCAATTTAACTTAAATCTAGCAAACTGAACATGGGTCCTTATAGTGAGCTAATAAGACAAGCTACTCCTCATTGTCGGAGATATCGATGACGATTGGCTCCTTGGACATGGAAGAGGGTGAGGCCTCCGCATCGTGGGTGCTCTCGTTGTAGTGGTGAGTTGCCTGAGCCGCTCCGGGCACCAACCTGCTGGCTCTCGAGATGAGGTAAGCACGTGCACGCTGAGAAAACACCTCGTAGTCTTCGTCGAAGGCACCGACGGTGGCCTCGAGAAAACGCCACGAACTGTCGTTTAAAGCAGCCAACCGCGTCGCGACGTCGACGCGCGAGGCGTCAACGATAGCCTCGACGGTTAGGTGCTCCTCCAAGATCTGGGGTTCAGCACGAATGGCAGCCATCGCGACCTCATCCGCGCGTGCGGCCGCGATTTGTTTCTCCGCTGCCAAATGCTCCTTGAGATCATGGCTATACTGCGTGCACCATGGCTTACGCCGGCACTTATGTGGTGGAGGGGGCAGTGATTTGGGTGGAAGGTGTCGCGCTCACGCCGGCGATCGGGGCATGTGGGATGTGGAAGAAGGAGGAGGATGGGGGTCGGGTGTGGATTACCTGCCTGGATTGGCGAGGTCGAGCAGCGTGACGGAGGGGCGCCGGCGAGGAGGCGGCGCTGCAAGCAAGGAGTGAAGGTTTCAACTTGAAAAGAAAGGCGGAAGCAGGGGAAATATGGCTTTTGGTAAGGGTGAGGGGGCGGGGAGGTAGATATTTCCGGGAAGCCGAAAATTTGGAATCACTTCAGCGAAAAAACCGGCGCGCAAAGTGTCATCAGACACGGTCCATTATTCAGAGCGGGTTGTGGACTATAGCCGTCGCACCTTCTCGCGTAAGTCGTATGCGTACTATACTCCGACGGTGCTCCAAGATATTTTGTGTTGTATCTCACACGGTTGGTTATAATAATCTGTGTGGGATCGACTTATGTTTTCATCTTGATTTGAATTACATAATGAGGTCACAGCGGCCGTGGACGGTGTTTGAATTGCTAGACCTTTTATCTGCAGTGAATATGCAACTATATGTGTGTCATAAAAAATTGAAATTATTCAGGGTTTGTTTGGACATTTTTATGCATTAAGTGAGTTTTCAATGCATTTATGTCCATAATTCAAATTTGAACTACATGCACATGCTTCAATGCATATAAATTGGTTGAAAAATAAAATATTTGTCCTTGGGTGCATGCCTATGTCTCATGCAAGAAATGGGAATGAATGTCAAATACCCTGCCACCGTCACTTGACCGCAAACATTGAGATACCTGGTATTTAAATTCTAGTAAATCCAAAACTCATCTGAAATTCATGAAACTTGGCATGCTATCATGGAGTGGCATCAACATGCCGTGGTAAATTTTTTGTCCCATTTGGGGCAGGTTTGGGTATAAACTTCTCACAAACCAGAGCTTCTCACAACAAGTTTGATGGTTTCGATAGGAAACGTCCCACCTTTGGGGACGAAACAATATCCATTGCCTCTTATTGCTTTCAATTTTTTTTTCTCGTGTCAACATAGAACAACATAAGTGTTGTGTCAATTTTTGTGATTTTTTGGGGTTCATTTGGATATTTTTATGCATTAGCTGAGTTTTCAATGCATTTATGTGCATAATTCAAATTTAAACTACATGCACATTCTCGAGTGCATATAAATTGGTTGAAAAATCAAATCTGTGTCCTTGGGTGCATGCTTAGGTCTCATGCAAGAAATGAGAATGAATTTCAAACACCAGGGCAATGTTGATTGCCGGCAAGATGTTGAGATACCTGGTATTTAAATTTTAGTAAATCCAAAACTCGTCTGAAATTCATGAAACTTGGCATGATATCATGGAGTGGCATCAACATGCCGTGGTAAATTGTTTGTCCCATTTGAGGCAGGTTTGCGTATAAGCTTCTCACAACATGTGTGATGGTTTCGATAGGGAACGTCCCACCTTTGGGGACGAAACGATATCAATTGCCTCTTATTGCTTTTGATTTTTTTCTCGTGTCAACATAGAACAACAAGAGTGTTGTGTCAATTTTTGTGATTTTTCAGGGTTCGTTTGGACATTTTTATGCATTAACTGAGTTTTCAATGCATTTATGTGCATAATTCAAATTTGAACTACATGCACATGCTCCAGTGCATATAAATTGGTTGAAAATCAAATTTGTGTCCTTGGGTGCATGCTTAGGTTCCATGCAACAAATGAGAATGAATTTCAAACACGAGGGCACCATTGATTGCCGGCAAAACGTTGAGATACCTGGTATTTAAATTCTAGTAAATCCAAAACTCGTCTGAAATTCATGAAATTTGACATGGTACCATGGAGCGGCATCAACATGTCGTGGTAAATTGTTTGTCATATTTGGGGCAGGTTTGGGTATAAGCTTCTTACAAACCAGAGCTTCTCACAACAAGCATGATGGTTTCGATTGGGAACGTCCCACCATTGGGGATGAAATGATATCCATTGCCTCGTATTGCTTTCAAAAATTTTCTCGTGTCAACATAGAACAACATGAGTGTTGTGTCAATTTTTGTGATTTTTGGGGTTCGTTTGGACATTTTTATGCATTAACTGAATTCTCAATGCATTTATGTGCATAATTCAAATTTGAACTACATGCGCATGCTCCAGTGCATATAAATTGGTTGAAAAATTAAATCTGTGTTCTTGGGTGCATGCTTAGGTCCCATGCAAGAAATGGGAATGAATTTCAAACACCAGGGCACCGTTGATTGCCGGCAAAACGTTGAGATACCTGGTATTTAAATTCTAGTAAATCTAAAACTCGTCTGAAATTCACGAAATTTGGCATGCTATCATGGAGCGGCATCAACATGCCGTGGTAAATATTTTGTCCCATTTGGGGTAGGTTTGGGTATAAGCTTCTCACAAACCAGAGCTTCTCACAACAAGCATGATGGTTTTGATAGGGAACGCCCCACCTTTGGGGACGAAACGATATTCATCGCCTCTTATTGCTTTCAACATTTTTTCTCTTGTCAACATAGAACAACAGGAGTGTTGTGTCAATTTTTGTGATTTTTCGGGGTTCGGTTGGACATTTTTGTGCATTAACTGAGTTTTCAATATATTTATGTGCATAATTCAAATTTGAACTACATGCACATGCTTCAGTGCATATAAATTGGTTGAAAAATCAAATCTGCGTCCTTGGGTGCATGGTTAGGTCCCATCAAGAAATGGGAATGAATTTCAAACACCAGGGCACCATTGATTGCCGACAAAATGTTAAGATACCTGGTTTTCAAATTCTAGTAAATCCAAAACTCGCCTGAAATTCATGAAACTTGGCATTGCTATCATGGACTGACGCCCGACATGCTGTGGTATTTTTCGTGTCCATTTTGAGAGAAGGCACACTCGAATAATGACAGCCAACAAAGGCATTTTGAAAAAATAGCTGCCACTTTAATATCTCAAACGTTTGTATAATTCAAACCATGTGCGTTCTGTTAACCATTCACGTAACGCCACGTGTCTTGGTTTTAATGGCTATAGGAGGTGCCGTGTGGACAGCTGCTTGACTGAACGGGAGGCGTGCGAGCGCAGTCCAGTGCGCAGGCTCACCGGGAAGCGTACAAGCTGTTCAACGCAGGATCTGTGCATCTCTTCAACGCAAACGGTTCAGATTACAGTACGCAAATTAAAGCCAGACTCCGGCGCTAAGCCAAGAGACACTGCGATTTGTCAAAATATGCAGCTAAAAATCAATAGCACTATCTATTTTTTGCAACTAAAATTCAGTAATTAAGCATAGATTTCATTCATATTAGAGATTAAACAGTCGTTCTCA